TTAGAGGGAGGGAATTTTCAGGCAAGGTTTCTTATCCACCCCTAAAGGCAGTGCTGCAGGGAGAGACGGGAAAGGCTGAAGAATGCCCAAACCGCCCATCTGGTCGCTGACCTTGGGTTGGGAGGCTTCTGGAGAATGTCTGCCGACGTGGCTGCGTCGGCCGCCTCATTCCCAGGACTTTGGGGGACATCTGGTGTTTAGGGAGGAAAGGCCGAGCATTTTCCTATTTAAACTGCACTGGAAGCTGGGGGAGCCAAGTGACGGGTTGGGACATTCACCAGGAAAGCTCTTTTCCTCTTGGACCCCCAGCTACTTCACCCCTAATGCATTACCCAGCTTTTCACCGGCAAAAAAGAGTGTGTTATCCTGAGAACCACCCTGAAAAGTCGCTCCCACAAATTCGGACCCAACGCCCCTTCTGTGCTGAGGAGCGTGGAAAAGACCAGCACAGGTGCAGACATCCCTGATCCTGTCCTCGGCGAGCTTCCCGCGCTGTGGGGGATGCAAGTCTCTCAGACAACGAAGGTTTTTCCTGAGCTGCTGAGTCTTTTGTGCTGTTGCCCCTGTTCTTTCAATGTAAGAAAACACATCAAATTCTAAACTAGGATTGCAGTGGCTTAAAGAGAAGAAAAGCCACAAAAGGACTGAGCATATCGGAGAGGGAGGCGTCTGGACTGGACAGAGAAGCTGGGCCGCCACCTGGACCTTCTCACCTGAGGGGAGGGCCGGGCGCAGACAGCCCCACCTCCGGTAAAGGCGAGTGCGAGCCAACACTGAGCCAAGTAGGGGCTGGGCCAGTGGGGGGCCCTCGAACGCCAACATCAGGGCTCCAGGTTGTCAGGCAACAGAGAAACACTGTGCGCCACTGAGCAAACTAGCAAAGTGGGCTTTCACAAAAGCTCCTAAAATAGGCCTCCAGCCTCATTCTGACATGCAGGCGGCTAAGTCACAGGGTAAACCCGAACAAGCAGGCAGAGAATGAGGCCACGTACCAACAAGGACCTAACTTTCAAGTGCATGACCTGGCCTTGCCCTTAGGAGACAAATGCAAAACATTGCACGCACGTCCCAGTGACACGCTGGCCGTGCGGGCTGCACAGGGCCAGCGGTGCCAAAAGCTCCAGCGGAAGGGACATGCTGGGCTGGCCTGTCACACATGCAGAACCGCTCCCAGCAGGTCAGCACCACACCAGCGCCCGTGGAAAGAACAGACACAGGAACAGAAAAGTCTCCACAGCGGGAAGATCAAGCGAGGGAGACGATGCACAGGCAGGCAGGGGTGCATGGACCGCGCCAACTCCAGTGCAGACATGCAGGCGGGCGAGGGGACAGGCTGCACCACGGGACCCACACTGCCCGGGACTCGCTGTTGTAGAGCACCCTTGGCCTGGCTAATATCATTCCATGATGCCGGAAGGACAGGAGAGAGGGTTTCCAGAGACAGCCCCTCTCATTCTGCACACGAAGACCATTAGATTTGAAAGAAAATATGAAGCCAGATAGATGTAATTCTGTGGTGCCTTTCACACTTAAATTCTTGTAGTTATCAGTCAGTAGCTGTCATCATCAAAAGAATATTCCAAGCAGAAAGATTAAATGTTAACAGATGAGTAGCTCTGGAAAACCGTGCACTGAAAAAAAAAAACATCCTTTCTCCCTTTTTCATGTAGTTCTAACTTTCCACATAAGTGTCATCGAAGGGGAAAATGGCGGGCTTGCACGTGCAAAGGTGAACGTGCTAGAACTGGTTCCAGAGTGAATGCAGCAAAGGCCATATCATGTGGACCTTTGTTTTACCATCTGCAAAATGGAGGTGGCCATTTTTGTATAACTGCTCTGTAGGAGAGTAAGATGAAGAAGTGATTCGTGCTACAGAGATGGACCTTGAAACCACTGTGCTAAGTGAAAGAAGCCAGAGACAAAGGCCCCACATTGTATGGTCCCATTTATATGAAATTAGAGGCCCGGTGCATGAAAATTCATGCACTGGAGGGGGGATCCTTCAGCCCGGCCTGCCCCCTCTCTCAGTCTGGGAGCCCTCAGGGGCAAGCCCGGCCTTGCCGCACACATACCTGCTGCCCCGGCGGGGATGAGGGGACTGGGTGCCACCATCTTTGAGGGCGTGGCAGTCAATTAGCATATTCCCTCCTTATTGGCTGTGGGCGCCACCATCTTTGAAGGCGTGGTAGTCAACTAACATATTCCCTCCTTACTGTCTGTGGGCGCCGCCATCTTTGCAACAGCATGAGGGTCAATTAGTATATTCCCTTTTTATTAGATAGGATATCCAGAATAGGCACATGCATAGAGAGAAAGCAGACTAGTGGTTGCCACGGAGAGGGAGAGGGGAAAAGAGGCTGGGAAGTGTCACTGCTTAATGGGTACAGGGTTTTACTTGGGATGATGAAAAATATCTGGACATAGACAATGAAAATGGTTGTACAACATCGTGAATGTGCTTAATGCTACTGAAATGTATACTCTACTATGGTTAAAGTGGTAAAGCTTATGTTATGTATATTTTACCACAATATAAAGAAAAGAGAGAGAATAGAAAACAACCTCTGATTGTGTCCTCTATACATCCTTATTAACCAAAGGTATAAATGTATTCAGCTGATCACAACCGTGGCTAAGCTGCTAATCTAAATGTTCTATTTTCATTTCAGTGGGTACTGTCTTAGACAAAACTATCATAAACCGTTATCTCCCCTTTCCCTGGCACAGCTGTGAAAGGCGGTTTTGTGCAGACACTTGCAAAGCTGGACTGGGAAGGAGGAGCCAAGAAAGCTGTGTAATGCTTCAAGAAGTGGTCCAAAAGCACCATGTCTAGCACCAAAAATCTCAGGATAGTGGCCTCCGCCCTTGTCCATCCAATAGCTCTGACTCCACATGGGGCATGGTGGGAAAAGGTTAATTGACTCGTTCAACACATACTTTCTGGGTATCTACAACAAGCCCGGCGGTGGGCTAAATGGTGTAATTATAGCCGTGTAAAGTTACAGTCCCTTCTATCAAGAGAATTTTAATCTAGAGGGCAAGAGGGATAAGCACCAACAATTACAGAAGGCTGGGAAGGCTCAACACATCAGCCAACAACCAAGGCCTGCCCACTATTGGGAGCCCTGGCTGTCAAGTCAGAGTTCACTGCGTTTGCGCCCTGTGCCCCACACCCCACAGATAGGCCTCTGCAAAGGCAAAGGCAAACCAGAGCTGGGGGCGGGGGTGGCGCTCAACCTGGGGCTTTGGCTGAGGACAAGCCCAGCTCCTAGAGGACCAGACAGGGACTGAGAGAGAACGCTTCTCCCTGAAATCACCAGCCTGTCCCTAGACAGAGCTCAGCACCCTGAGCTATCGTGCGGCTCCCTGAACACCAGGGTTGGCATCTATGCTATGGGATCTAGTGGGTGTCAGGAAGAGGGTTTAGTTGGCAAAAGTTGCTAAAATGTGATGCCCAATCTTAGGAAAAAGTGCCCTTTATTCTCACTACTGATCCTTCAATCTAGAGTCAATCTAGTTTCTAGATGCTGGTTCTCTCTGGTTGACCCTACGTGGGACACCATAAAGTATTGATTCCTGGTCCTCTCCACAGACCAAGTGATACAGGACATCTGGGGTGGGCATGGCATCGGTCATTTTTAAAGCACCCCAGGCTATTCTAAAGGTGGCAGGGTTGAGAACCTCTCATCTAGGCTAAGAAGCAAAGGGAACAGGCTTTATCAAGAGCCTACTATGGGCTGGGTACTGTTGCTAGCTCCTTGCATACAGTATCAATCTCTATAGGTGCCCCACCAATTATCTTCTTGGATTTGTTCTGGCCATAAACATATGGTCCCTCAGAGCAGCACTCAACCTTGGAGGGATAGGAGATTAGGAAAAGATACCCCAGTTTCCTTACCCCCTGGGTGGGTAACTCCGAGGCACACTTCAAACCTGGGGTGAGCAAACTCTTTCTGTAAGAAGCCACAGTTAGAATGTTCGGCTTTGTGGGTGATACAGTCTTTGTCCTGACCACTCAAATCTGCCTCCATAGTGCAGAAGCAGCCACGGGCAATGATCAATAATGGACTTGGCTGCATTCCAATAAAACTTTATTTACAAAGACAGACAGCAGGACATAGTTGGCCAACCCCTGCTCTAAGTCTAAACAGATTCCCAGAAGTTCTCAGTGAAAATGCATTCCAGTTGACCCTAGCAGTAACCTGCCAATAGCAGGCTATTTCATCCCCTCACTGCGCACTTCCTGGGGTCACTGGTGAGAGAAACTCCCTGCACTCAGATTCTTGTCTCAGAGCCTGCTCTGGGGGCGCCCACCCAGCGTCGGTATCTTGTTTTAGACTCACAAATTCTATGGAGTTGAATACACCATCTCCACTTTACAGTGAACAAACTGAGATTCCGGGACTGCAAAACTGATACGTGATAGGGTCCAGATTAGAAGTCTATTTGGCTCCAAAGTCAATGATTTCTCTACTGCACGACCGGAGTAAGGATGGAAACACACACACACACACACACACACACACACACACACACACACCACACACACACTCGAATAGCTTTAATTATGGCGAGCAAGATTCCTACTACTCATGTAATTACTGACCTATGTTATAAACGGGTTTAAAAAAAATAATAGAAGTAGTAAGGTTTCACGGTTATGAAAAAATACCCTTTCTCTTTTATGCTGTATCAAGGCCAGGATAGAACTCATTTCCCAGCTATCAGCTGGTTGCCATCCTGGTGCTCTTTCTCCTCTGGTGGAATCTTTGGTTATACTTGGGAATAAATCCAGCCATTCAAGGTAAAACCCCCTGTGTCACTTGGAGCCTGAAGAGAAAGGAACTAGATTGAAAGGCCCTCTTCCATACAATAACATGGGGTATGGGGACAGCAATTTCTCAAAGCCCCTTAAAGGCACTTGTGAAGGTCCCCTGCGATCCTAGGGGTTCCAGAGAACCGAGAACCCACACAGTTAGAAACCACTCTTCATAGCTTACGCGGTCTTGCCCTCGCTGTCCTGTTTGGTGGCACTGGCCCCCTTCTTGCCCAGCAGTGAGGCCACCTTCTCGGCATCTCCGTTCTCCACGGCCTGCAGCAGCCGGTCATCGTTCTTGTTCCACTCATTGGTCTGTGGAGCAAAAGGGAGACACAGTGTCAGCAGACAGCAGTGGCCACGGCCATGCTCACGGCAGACCCTCAGGCCTCCTGCTCCCATCCTTCCCTGCTGTTGCTCAAATCAAACTCTTCCCCCACAAATAGGCGCCTTAAAAATACCTTCCCCTTCACCATGGCGGCACTCAAGAAAGCCGGCTTCCCAAAAGGAAACATCAACAGTTTAATGAAATAGCAGCCGTCACCAAACTCTGCAATGAAAGTACTTGTTTGAACTGAAGTTGGGGAGATGAGGCAACTTACAAAGACCTCCGGGCCAGTTTACACATTAGCTTGTTTCCAGCTCAACCCGACAGCTGGCCTCTCAGAGCAGTGGCCTTTGACCTGGCCCACAGCTCACGGGGCCCACGGTGTTACAGAACCAAACCGCCAACGGCTCAAGGCTAGCTGAGGGTTTATAATACACGTAATTTTTTGTCTGCTTTTTTGCCACTCTTTCCGGCCCTCAGTTTTGAGCTGTGTACTGATTTCAAGTAGTTGTCCAGGCTACCGACTCAACAAAGTGTCACCAGAAACAAAACTGCTTCTTGAGCGAGCTACTTAACATCAAAGAGCTCTGAGCAAACCTCCTGGGCCAAACCCCAGCCCCAGGAGAACAATAATGCGAACACAGGGACAGCAAAGCTATCGTGTGCACAGAATTAGTTTTCACTCTTACGAAGGGAAGAGAGGATCCCTATGTCAAAGAAGATGGGCCTTGAGTACAAGACCAAGAAGTTTCAAAAGTGAAGGCAGCAAGCAGTGAGCCACTAAAGGTCTGGAGCAGGGGAGTGCGGGGATAAAATCAGTGACTCGGGAAGTCATTGGGAGAGGTGAGGCCTATGAGATTAATGGGGGGAGAAAAGATCCTGGTCACCTCAAAGCCCATGGGTCACTCTGCAGGCCCCGGTCACCTCCAGACTCCCCCTGCAAAGCCTGCTTTCTCGCCCCTGTAGCTAAAGGTACCCCTCCCCCCCCAGACTCTTCCTCACTCCTCAAACTCTCTATACACAGGTTTCCAGGGCTCTCTGCTTCCTTGTGGCCTCCAAAGAACCTCCAGAAATTTCATACTAAAGGCTTTGCCATGGACCACTTCAGGGAAGGAGACAGCAGAGATACTGGAGATTAAAAAACTAACAGAAGGGAATTTTGCAGGACTACAGTTTTCTGTGGCCACAGAGTGTTCCCAATCTCTCTGCGTTGAGGGAACTGGGAAACCCAACAGGGCTCTGCCCTCTCAGTGAGCAGTGGTGGGTCTACCAGATGTCCCCAGCCTGGAGGCAGGGCCTCAGAGAAATCGCAGGCCATGGAGGAGTAAAACAGGTGTACCCAGGGTTCAAGTTAGGAATTTACTTCTCTGAGAGTCTCAGGACTGGACCCTCCCATCTTCAGGACTCTCCCCCACCCCTCCCACCCACCCCTAAAGAGAGAATGGTAAGCTTGAATGAAAATGAGATGTTTGTCCCCAAGGCTGCATGAACTTTAAGTCCACAACTCTCCATTGACACTTACATGCTATGAACCTAGAGTCACTCAAAAACCTCTCTGTGCCTCAGTTTCCCAAGGCATTGGACTGGATGACCACACTGATCCCCTTAAAGCTCAAAAAACTTAATCTATAAAATGCCCCAAACCAAACTTTGCTAGGGATTTTTCTACAACAGTTCTGTCTGCATTAATAGAAACATTCTATATCTGCACTGCCCAAAATCGTGCCCCTAGGCAGTACTTCTCAACCAGGGGTGATTTTTGGCAATCCACACAGACATTTCTGATTGTCATGAATAGGGGGCGCTATTGGCATCTCGAGGCTGGGGTGCTGCTAAACATCCTTCAATGCATAGGACAGCCCCCTCCCTGCTACAAACAATCATCCAGCCCCAAATATCAAGATTGCATCCGCCTCATGGAAGCACTGGAAATGTAGCTAGTGCAGCTGAGGAACTGGATTTTTAATGTGAATTCCAGACTTCGGTGCAGCTCTAGGCGACGGCTTTCTAAATATTTCTAACCAAGTAGGAAGGTGTCTGGGCCAATGTCCTCCACACTCTCCGACAACAGTCAATTTGCTCGCAAAGAAGACATTAGGTTTCATCTTCAATTATAAATCGGGCTTTCTCTGGAAGGGGAGGGGAACACAATAAATAGACCACTTCAGGCACAAGCGTTTGTTAGTACAACAGGAAACTGTACTGAAAAGCAAAATGTAGCCAACACGAAGAAACAGCCTGCAGCGTATTTCCCCCAGAGTGCGTCTTTTTATAAGCCAAAACAAAACCAGCAAAGTTTATTGAAGTACATGTAGGACTCATGATTCCTACTTACATGATCCCATGCTCCGTTATTCATGTTGTCTTTTAAATCCTCCCCGGACCAAATTAAAACAGGATTGGGAAGATCAAAAGGCTATTAAATCTCAGGGGACATGATTGAAAATACTTAAGCGAAGAACGCCACATGAAAGGGTTTTCCTTCTCAGTGCTGTGCACTCAACTCGGGTCGAGAAAAATGTGATTGCAGGGATTTCTTAAAATTAGTTACATGTGGGTATGTAGGGAGTTCCATTTCTATAGCACCAAGCAGGAAAGACTGCCCCTTCCCTTACTCTTTGGAGGATAAGGTCAATAGCAAATCCCTTGAGATCTAAAACTCTTCTCTTTTATCTTGCCTCTCTTTTTCTCTTAGAGCACATGAGGCAAGAGAACATGCCCACCCCCACACAAAGATTTAATAAATAACTGGCAACACCATTCAACCTATATGTGCTGCAGATGCAGCTCACCGGAAGCAGCGAGAAGGGAAAGGATGGGTGGGTGCTGTATATGTTGGTCTTTGAGTCTGAGCCAAGAGAACAGTTCAGAACAAATTGGGAAGATCCTGGGGGGAAAGTAGACCATCAGTTGGGAAAAGAGGAGAGTTTTACTCTGAAGGGTCTCACAGGTGCTCTACAAGTAGAGGCCAAGAAGGGTCCCAATTAGACCTCCAACCAGGAATCCAGGTTCCGAACGTGAGTCTTCCGGGTGAAATGCCATGTAGCAGTGTAACCGGGCAGACACTCCATCTCTTTAACATGACCCTGTCTCCTTTCTGCCTGTCCACTCCCTTCTTCAGTCATCAAGCCCCTTGGACATCAGATTCTGGTCAGTGTCAATCTATCTTAAGAACAAAGCCTCAAGCCTGTTGATCACAGACACAGAGTTTCAGTCAAGTGAAAGATAACATCTAGACTTCAGTTGTGTTTCAGCCTCGGGCCCATGAAAGTAGAAGGACCTTACAGATCATCTCCTCACGAGACAAGAAAGAATCATACCATGGCTGACATCAGGACCTGACACAATGGTCAGCTACTCTCTACCTGGCTCCAACCAATCAGCAGAGACCACGGCCCCACTCCTGTAGCCGCCATGATGAATGACTTTCCCCCATACAGCCCATCCCCTGGAAGCCATCACCAGGGAGCCGGGTCTTTGAGCACTAGCTTACCTGGGACTCCGGGCTTGGTGCATTTCCTCAACTAATAAAACTCTCTTTGCTGCAAACTCCTATTCACATCTGAGGGGGCTTTGATGGGGGCAGGTGAACAGACCCCTTTATTCTGGTAACAGCAGGGAGCAGATGCTAATGTAACAGAGTTCTCTAGACCTGGGCCAGGCCCATTCTTCTACTTGTAATTAGTTCTGCTATACACAACTGACCATACCATGCGCCTTCCAGAAGCATGGCTTTCAAGATGCCATCACTTTCCTCTCCTAGACCTGTCCATGGACACATTCCCTCTATTTTCTCCTATGAAACTATTGGATTTACATTCTATACCAAACATTCCATAGCTGATCACAAGATGAGACAAAACAGGTGTCCATTAATATTACTGCTCTTGAGAATCCAGAAGCAAATTTCTCTCCCCCACCTGCATCACCCTGCTGAGTGGTACTAAACTGAAATCAAGCATCAAAAGGAATCTTTAAAAAAAGCTATCTTGGCTAATCTACTGTCCAAAGGCAGCCCTGGTAAGAAGTGTTTTGTGTAAAAAGTAGATCATGTGATAGGTGAAGTTCGAAATTTTGCCATAACATCCCGAAGTAATTCACTTATACTTCTGCAGACCATCATCCCACCAACAATATCCCCTCTGCCCGCTTCCCACGGAAGCCCCCTCCATGGGGCAGGCTTAGCTCCGCCTCCACACTAGGCTCCTGGTCCCCTTAGAACGTTTTCAACCTATTAGTGGGTTAATCCAACACTTAAAAAAAAGAGAAAATAGAAACACCAGATACATCATATTTTAATAAGGTTAAATATCTTTGTATGCGTGTACTGCATGGTGATATAAAACATATATATTTTTTACTGGGGAAATCACAATAAAAAACATGGGGTGCCTCTGCTTTTGAATGCTGTCACCCCATCTGCCTAAGAAAGGCTCTCTTCTAAGCCTCACTCAAGCCCCGCAGACTCCTCAAGCCTTCCCTGCTGCCTGCTTCTGCTTCTCTTCCCTCCTGTCCAGAGGTCGCCTACTCAGCGCTGGAGCCCACAGTCTAGACTTGAAATATTGTCCTGGCTTCATTCCAAGCTCCGTGCGTGCTTGCTGTTTCCTTGTCTTCAGCTCCCTGAAGGCAGGGGCAGCCACCGTCACTTCTCACCCCCATGTTGCCTCGCAAATGGATCTGCTGCTGATTTTAGCAGGAGTTTCTTCCTCTCAGTTAACCTGAATCTCGCCTGACTTCGAAAATAGTTTCTTTTCATCTACAAAACTCTCTCATTCTTTTGCAAACAACTATCTCATCATGTTTCCAATTTTTTAAAATCTTCATTGTTGAAAGTATTACCCATATGTCCCCTTTCTCACCCCCCCACCTCCGTTGACCCCATCTAGGCTGCCCCCACCTCCTGCCCTAGGCCTGCAACATTTCCCATTTTTAAATAGGCTACATAAATCCTACTCCTTTAACTTTTCTACTCCCTTAACTTTGCTAAGGCCAATTTTCCAAGATTTTGATCACGGGTACATTTTTTCCGAATCTCTTCATGACTAAGCCTTGTCAATTCGTCAGGGTGGAGCGGTGTCTCCCAGTCACCAGGCGCGCCTGGGTGCTTGTTAAGTATGCTGACTCCCAGGCCCCATCCTGGAGATTCCGGCCCCCACCTCCATCCCCCTGCTGATTCTTATGACAGGTTTGGGGACAACTGGAACCTATGCAAAGGCTAACCACAGGATTCC